CTTTTGACCAGCCACCACTGCCAGGTCAACTTACTTTGTTTCCAGAACCGGAACGAGAGGCAAAGGCCGCGGACGAAGAAACCGATGCAGCGAGCAACATGAAGAAACGCAGACGACTTGCTCTGGGCCCCCCGGTCAAACTTCAGGCTGTCAAGACAGAACCGAAGGAGGAAGCAGAGTCAGAGTCAGACTGCGACGGGGACCAGGAAGAGATTCCAAATGGCACAGGCGCCGATGGGCAACCACGTATGGAGGCCTCTGCATTCTTACAGTTTGTTGAAGGTGAGAACGAACTGATGCCAAGTCAAGAAGATCCTGTAGAAGTCATAGCTGAAGGGACCAGAAGCCGAGAAGACATGTTTCAATTTGGTGTGAGGAACATTCAGCGAATCCACAAATACTTTGGTGTCAAACCATTGCAAACGCTCTCTGGAAACTTAAGTTCGCTCAGTATCCTGTCCTTGTACTCGGGCCTTGGTGGTGCAGAAATCGCGGCTGCGATCACCGCAACATCTTTGCGATCCTACATTGAGACAAATGGTGGTTTGCAGGGATCAGTGGACTTTCCAATGAAGCCACACAACTTACTAGCATGCGACATCAATTCAGACTGCCAAAAAAATCCTGAAATCGCATCCAGAAGCTTGAATGTTAAAGACAGCCAGACTGTTTGCGTTACTGCGTTACGTCAACTTTTTTGTGATAGATTATTATTGAACCCCACATCGCCCACTGCCCAACCCCCCAGCCATTCTACTCTCAGGACCCAGCTCAATATTTGATGAATTCTTTGGAAGACTTCTTGGAAGAGGGTGCGGCCGCGAAGCTTCTACAAATGATTGAAGACAAGAAAAGCGACTGCATTGATGTGTTCAAGAAGCTCTCAATGACACCGGATCAGGCCGTTGCCAAGGCAAGAGCCAAGGCAGCTTCTAAGGCCAAAAAAGCTGGCACTGAACCGGATCATGTCGATGAACGTGAGGTGAAGAAGCTCCACAATTGTGAGGTCAGGAACGTGAAGCAGCAGCTGGCTGCCAGTTCACAAGCACTTGTTCGCGATCTTGTCATTCGGATTGAGAAGGACAATATGATCAAGAAGGCCATTTCCACCGGGAAGCTTGAGCCAGTAACTTGCCATCTTGCAAAACTACGTGTGGACAGTGGACACGTGTATATTGGTTAAAGACGTCCCTTTGTGTATTGTGTCTGTTCACTTTCAATTTCAATGCAGAATTTTTATGCGGAGAAACATGGAGTATATGGATCATACAAGCCTGCTCAGGTATCCATTCAGGAAATATCTGAACGAGAGCTCTTGATGGCCGTGGTTGGATCTACTTGCAAAGACTGGACCGGTTTAGCAAAAAAAGGGTCGATTATTGTTTGAATTGTTTTGTCCATTCAATCCAATCATCGTTAATCTAGTCTACTTTTACTTTTACTATATACTTTGTATTGCATCATATGTCATATGTCTCTCACTTACAGGAGCTCAATGGGTTCGCGCACGGGATTTTTGGGACCTTCGGTCCTGGCATTCGCAATTTTTGCTGCAGTTCTTCGTGCCGTCCGGCCAAAGCTTTTGGTGCACGAATGTACGCAAACATTCGACGCCTCGATCTTCAGTGTGTTGTTCCCAGATTACCATTGCCAAAGCTTGCTCACTCATCCCGCTGACTACGGTTTTCCTGTGAAGAGGACACGGTTGTACTCCTTGCTGGTGAGATCAGATATGAAACTCCTACAGCCAGTGTCAGACATTTACAGACTCTATATTTCCCCCAAGATTGACTGCGGAGCCTTCTTTGCAGCAAATGACGAAGAGGCCGGCTGGCTTATTGTTTTACGCCCAAGCCTTTATGGTGTTTGGTATCACTTTGTTGGGGAGATCGCTTGTGCGACTTGCCTACCACCGTACCACCAACCATATATTTGTTACACGGGTGAGTGTTTGATGAAGTTTCACGTTTAATGTTTCAGTTTCGGTTCAAGTTCAGTTCAGGTGGATGAGATGCGCAATCAAATGGCTACGAATGCAACTTGACTGGACATAATGACCAGAATGCTGAAGTCCATACTCCATACTCCCGAAGTCGAAGTCTGTGGTCCGTTGTCTGTGCCAGCTGGCAATTTAGCAAATGTAGATGTAGATTCTTAGATTGTAGATAAGTTTATTGGTTGCTGCACAAGCTGCGCAAAGTAGAACACACAAAGGAGTCATAGATTGGGTGAATGTAAGGCCAAAAAGTCTGCACAAGCGACTTGGACAGATTTGCTTCCAGTTGCAGCGCAAGTCAACCTGGAACAAGCTCTCAAATTGGAAAAGATCAAGAAGCACATCCCTGCCCATGAGATTGCGATCAACCTGTCGCAGAATGTCTTGTGCCAAGAACATTTTGGGGTTCATGCACCAGTCGTGCTGGCGTCAAGCACCCATATTTGGGGTGTGATGAGGGGTAGGCCCTACACAGCCTGCGCATCTTGGCTTGGACTTGGACTGTGTTTACTGTAGCTTGGGGGTCAGGGTGCTGGAGGATTAGTCTCCTTTTTATTGTGGTTCAGTTCGGTGGGGGGGGGCCGGGTCGGGTGTGGCCGATGGCGGTTTTGAATTGCGAGGTCGACAAGTGTAGATGGATTTGTAGCTTTATTGATTTGTTCAAGTAAGGAACTTTTGGAAATGCAAGGGATCCCGATGCATAGCGACGCCTTGAAGGCTTGTGGTATTTCACAAAGGTTCTTTGATGTGGGCCTGATCACGCCATCTGCGCAGAAGAGACTTGCTGGCAACTCCTTCCAGCAAGGATGTATGTCTGCCTTCATTTGCTTTGCATTGTCCTTCGTGAAGCCCGCTGCGGACCTTGACGAGGCAGAGAAACAGGCAGCCCATGCAGCCATGCGCCAGGCTTCTTCTCAGGGCCCGGACCATCACTTTTTGGACGAAGAGGCGGAGGAGGAGTGAGCAGTAGCAGGATGCATCCTGTTTCTGCTCAGCAAAGGCTGTTTGGTGAGAAGTCGTATAGCAGCTATAGCATTGAGTTGAGTGATGTTTATGAACAAATCATGTGGTCAGTCAGTAGTTCAGGTGCTTTTGGAGTTGAGCAGAGCAGCAAAGCGGTGCCAGGATAGATTGTTGTTTGGGATAGGGCCGCCTAGCCTGGTGGGCCGGTGGCCCGGGCCCAAAAAATCAATTCAACACAGCATCTCATCAAACTAACCACCACCAGAAGCGAGAAAGCGTTGATGTTTTCCTTTCGGGAGTCAGGGAGCACGGCTGGACGTGACGTGAGACTCTGTGAGACCGTGAGACGTGAGAAGGCAAGCAAACTCTGGCGCGTTGTTTCGCTCCACTACTGAGCCCTGTTGTAAGCTGTAGAATCCAACGTGAACTTTGGAAAGAGTTTAAAGTTTAAACAAATCAAAACTGCTAACATGTTCAATAACGTTTACTAATGAGGGCTTTGGCTCAAACGCAAACCTACACCAAGGCCCAAACTAACAGGACAGAAAGGAACCGTGATACACATCGCACCAGAACCACAAAGTTAGGTTGTATTCCAGGAAGTTCCAGGGTTCTGCTTCTTGCAAGTTGTCAGAGCTGGACTTTAGCCATGGACGCTGGCGAGGCACCTGATGCAGCCGCAAAGGCTGCAGTTGTTGCGGCAGCACCAGCGGTCGATGCTGCTGAGATGATCACATGCATAGTGTGTTTGCACCTCTTTTGCATGAACGACTTTCCTTCAAAGAAGTCCACGAGATATGCAGGTCACTGCCCCAAATGCAGTCTCCAGCTGCGTGGGATTCTGAATGCCAGCAAGGGAAGTCTGCCTACTACTTCCGCTGCTGATGAAGCTGCTGGTTGTAGTGAGATGTCGGGGGCGGGTGATGACACCTCAAAATACCTACAGAATTTAGCAAAGGAAGATCCTGAAAAGTATAGGCAGATCTTCAAAGAGTATGGAGAGTCGGGATCTGCAGCCGGAAAGCGTGGACGTGGAAACCAGCGTCAGCCTTTCAATCCGCGCACAGTGCCTTTGTCCTTAATGTCATGTTATGAAACTCATTTTTCCTCTATGTTTTTTTGTTGTACTTCTCCTATCATGTTTCCATGGCTGCTGGGACAGATTCGGACAGATAGGGGACGTCGGCCGTCCCTCTTTTCTTAAGTTTCTGCTGGAGAGTTTGGTCAGTGAAGTGTTGATCCAATATCTAATTAGTCATTTTTGGCTTTCGGAGTCGGAGATCTAAGTAAGCCAGGGCCCAGAGCCGCATCATCCCTCATCCCAGGTGCTCTACTCTGAGACGCAAGAGACCATCAAGCGATCAAGATTGGGTTCGGGTTGGGACGCTATGAGGCAGACTGCCTTCATTGAGTGGCACACGCAAAAGCTACCACCTGGTGACCGCCTTACTCCAGAAGAAGCACAACGAGCTTGGATCAGAGATGTGAACCCACAGAACAAAGATACCGACAAGGACATACGGGTCATATGTTTCTGTTTTACTAAACAACAACTTCTATATACTCATCTTGTCTTATCACTGACACGTTTTCATATGATTGGAGTGGGTCCGGAAGTTTGAAGGTTGCCACATCAAATTCCAAAAGAACCATCTGGTTGAAAGTTGACAGTGTGTCACTTCCATGTAAATTTGCAACAAGTGTCTTTCTTGCCAGGAGATGATCGAGATCTACAACCCCAAGACGGGCAAGAATGAGAAACATCAACATGTTTGGGTTCAGACCTCTATCAGCAAATCCAAGGAGCAGATTTTTGATGACAAGCGTTCGGCTTCTGTGGTTGAGCAAAGCAAAGATGCAAATCAAAAAACACTTGCCGCAGCACGACAGCGTGCACTGTCGTTTATATCTATGTCGGCCGATGAGACTTTCTTCAAGGTTCCTGAGAGAGTGCTCAGTCATTTTGCCGTATATAAAGACACATGTCCAAGACTCTAAGACTCTAAGAGTTGTTTGTCTTCCTGTGTTTTCCCATTATTCAGTTCGCTTCTGTTATGTTTAAGATTGTTTAAGTTTAAGTTGAATAGGATTGTATAGATTATGGCTAACTTAGCGGCCTAGTACTGTGATAAAAATAAAAATAAAAGAACAGCTCCTCTGGCAGCAGCACAGGATTGCAGCTTCCTACTTGACTCCAGCGTCGTTGAAGATACGTTGATCTTGGGACCTGAAAATTCTGCAAGTGGCAAACAAAAAAATAGGAAGCGAAGAGAATCGGTCCGAGAGGGCAAGAAAGTGGACATTCCTACACATCGCTTGCGGACTGCTACCAAGCTTCTTCCTCATATCAAGTTTGTTCAGGCAGCCTTCAGGGAGGTCGAAACGAAGTTGGAGAACTTCTATGGTGAGCACCCAGAAATGGCAGAGAAGGCAAAAAACTTGAAGGAACATGGGATTACAGAGGACCGCCTTGTCAATGATTCCTCCTTGGATCTTGGAGACACTGCAGCTTGCATCCGGATCATGTTCACCATCCTGGGTCGACATCTTCTTCTCAAAGTGCTAAGCATTGGATCCAAATGTATGAGTTTGGACGGCTTGACCGATGACCAGAAAGTGGAAGATCGAGCAACAGAGAATGCTCTGGTCATCTTGAAATCGGATGCTTTCCTGCAGGAGAATGCCAATAAAGTCCAGGCATACATTGACTACTGCAGCCCTGAGAAGCTGTACGAGAATCTACCAACCAAGGAGGGCATTGATGAGCAGAACACAGAGCTCATGGAAGCTGTCAAGGCAGTGAAGGCATGCATTGCGGCGGCAAAGCGTTCCATGACAGACTATGCCCAAATGATCAAGTCTACGAAAAAGGCCAGAGAAAAGTACGAGGAGCACATGGCAAAGGCCAACAACCCGAACAGTTCACACGGAGGCCTTCAGGGGCGACCAAACCTACAACAAATGGCCGATTCGGACCCAGAGGTCTTGAAGTGCTTCAAGCAACTCATTTTAAAATTGAACTGGTTTTTGTTTTATGTTTGGTCAGTGAGTCAGTGAGTCAGTCATTACCAACAGTGTATGGGTTAAAGTCAAAGTTAAATATGGGAGATTGGATTTTTATTTGTGGGATGACATGACATGCCACTACAGGCATATGAGCTCCAAGCGCCCCATGGCCGTTGTGAAGGAGATGGATGGAAAACAAGATCCAGGTCTACCTTGCATCATCAGGAAGGGGCGTAACACCCTTGCGACTGTGTGCAAGGATGCTCCTAACAAGCGCTTCATTGACAATGTCATTGACACCTTTCACCAGCAAGTCAAGGCTTCGAAAACCACGCGTATGACGTCACTTGGCTATATGTGCAAAAGGATATGCTTTGTGTTTCAGATTTCAGCGGACAGGATTTTGATTTGTGTGATGTTGAACTATTGAACTCCAATTTGGCATTTGGTTGCACCCACCCAGTTGTTCAAACGACATTCCAATTGTTAGTTCAGTCTCCTGTCTACTGTCTACTGTCCAGGGCTGTGATTCGGTCCACTACCTCTGATGGAGCTGAAGACTCATCTGCCAAGAAAGCCGTTGATGAGATCAAAGATTCCTTGCTACGCATGATGCCGGAGGACGTTTGGAGCGGAGAAGCTGGCTTGTACATTTCTGACGAGATCCTGGAAGAGGAAGTACGCACTGGCCCCTTGGTCAAACTGGTAAAGCTTCAACATCTTTGATCTTGCTTTGTCATCAGTGTCAGGGCTAAAGACTAAAGACTACCATCTGCCATCTGCAAGACTGTCATTGTTCGGATTCGGACCTGTTTTGTTCCCTCACTCTCTCCAGTCCTGTGGTGTAGCAGCACTCGTTTTGGGGAAGTGGCAGGATCGATCGCAGTCCGACAGTCCGACAATAACAATGAGCTGAGGTGGTCACAGCGAAAAGGACATGCTAGGGTGCAAAGAACTTCACGCACTCAGCATTGTCGGCATGCAGCAAGGGACAGTCTACGCCGGCATTGACAACAATTCGGTTGGCAGCATCAGACTGCAGGCCTCCTGGCTTCTACTAAGTTCCCAGACTGCCAGACAAACAGGTTGTGACTGCAAATGTTCAATAGATACAGTATGAACCATTCAAAGATTGGGGTAGTTCCGGGCCGGGTTAGGTATATTTTCCCACTCAGCCACTTGGTGAGAGAAAGAGTCAAAGAGAGAGAGAGAGAGTATTGATAGTCAGGGCGCAATTGCCTTGTGTACAGATGCAAATGAGGTGCTGGGGACAAAAATCGTGGTGATGGCCATGGTGGAGGAGTGCATGAGTTTCTTCGAGACCTCCAGCCTTCAAGTCGCAAGGGACAGACTCCAAAGCATGACGTCATCGCAGATTCCAGATCAGCTGAGCAACCCGGCTGGACAAATATATTTGTTTATATATGTTTATATGATTTATATGTGTTTCCTTTACCTTCTTACATCTTGAAGTTTGGACCCACCAACAAACAAACCAAGCAAAAACACAAGCCAGCCAAGCAAATCAAACAAAGACTCACTGACAGGTATGCAAACCCTTGTTGCTGGCTTTGTCAAGACTGGAGACCTCTGGTACATTCCGAGCGGGTACCTGTTGGTGGAGAAGTCGCTGACTGATTCCTCCATTGCTGTGAGGACATTGTTGGGGCGCGACCGCGGCGGTGCTGATGCTGTGTGTGTAGGGGTGTGTGTGTGTGTCCTTAGTTCAGGGCAGGGTTTAGGATATATTGGTGTAAAGACATAAGATAGATAGGAGAAACAGTATATTTGTTTGGAGAAAGCCTGTGGAGCGTGGACATCCTCCACACACCTCGGGTTGTCAGCTGTCAGAGTCAGAGTCAGGAGAAACGTTTGTTTCTTCACTGACGATCTACACAGAAGCTTCCAGATCGTTGCTGCGCAGGTGACGGGACGAAATCACAGTTGTAGACTATACACTGAACATCATCCAAATCATTTCCATTGTGTTTTGAGTTCTTTTTTACACTATTGGACTATTTGGCTATACTATATACTACTTATATCACTGGACGATAGACTGAACCTGGCAATGGCATTACCTTAAGTTTGTTGCACTGTTGGGCTGGGTGGATTCGGGATCCTGAACCATCAACCCTATTGAGGTGGCTTCCAACCCAGTGCTGGACTTGGTCTTGAATTCTTTGCCGGATGAAGAGGTTCTGCCACCGACCAAAGAGCAAACAGTCACGGTCTCTCGAAATATGGCGATGGCTGTGCCTACGCCGCCGAATGAGCCTGAGTTTGAGCATGGGGCTAGCCAATCAGTCTTTTGGGATGAAGAGTCGTTGCCAGTGAAGTTGGGACAGTTGGGACCTGTTGTTGATGGCTCTGACGGCTCTGACTCCAAGAATGACAAGGCTCAGGCTGATGAGAACAAGAACTTGGTGCCGGTGCCGGCTCAGCCTCAGTCTCAGGAGGTTCAGGTCGCGGCAGAGTTGACAGAGGGCCAAGGTGAAACGGCAGCTTCCAAAACGGACATTGCAGAAACGGAGGCGGCGGACGCAGCAGCGGAGGCAGAGTCAAAGGGAGACCAGATCAGCAGCATCTTGAATGATGGGGGTGGAGCAGGAGCACCTGAGGCACCTGAATCACCTGAAGCACCAGCGGCGTCATCATCTCAGTTGGCAGCCGCAGCAGAGGCACCCAAGGAGACGGCACCAGAGACTATGCCCACTCTGGCTCTGACGCCGACGCCAACGGAAGAAGAGAAACCAAAGGAGTCAGAGGTGCCGTCGGAACCCGCAGAAGAAGTACCAGAAGGTGAAGTGGCTGCTCGTGAGGCTGAGGCTGCGGCTGAGGAGGAGGAGGCGATCAAGGGTGGGAACTCCAAGGTTGAAAAGAGAAAGGGTGTGGCATCAGCTGAGAAGAAGGCTGCTCCCAAAAAAGCAGCCGCAGCAAAGAAAGCATCAGCAAAGGCAAAAGCACCAGGCAACAAGGACGCGGAGGCGGCAAATAGAAAGAGAAAGGGCAGCGGCAAGTCTGAGGCGATCGCAAAGACCGCCAAGATTGGCACGTTTTTCAATCACCAGTAGAAGTAGGTTAAGTGCCAGGTCAGCTGAACTGCTGAACAATACTACTTTTGCAAACTTGAAGTTACAGGGGTCACTGTGGTGAAAAAGATGGAGCGCCCTCTGATTCTGTGAATCTTTTGCTGCACATAATACGTGAAACTTAACACACAAAAGAAACACACAACCTATACACATTGATGGGATATGTTGAAGCCATTTCCCGTTTCCAAGGTTTTTTTGTTGTTAGTTGTTGCATGCGTCGTTGAACTTGCCCATGGCTTCGGTTTCAGAACGAATCCTCCAAGCTGATGTGGTGAGTCGTGTGATGGGTCCCTTGACACTGATCTTTGCTGTCATTTCATTTGTTCAAAACCTTTTGTTTATATCTTTGTTTAAGGGAACCTGTTTTAGTACTTAATAGTAACAAATTTTGAGGCATTGATTGGCCTCATGGATGCTTTGTTGCCGGTGCTTACCTGTATTTCATCGAGGGTGATGACCAGAGTGACTTTGAGCCCTGCGATGATTCAGATGAAATGATGGAGCTAATTCGATGGCTTTACATGCACAATGCCCTCAATATCGGCAACAATGATGTGATTGTTCAAGAGGAGCTGCGCTTTTTGGTGATCAAAGAAGAAACTGCAGAAAAGGGTGGCCAGTGGAATTCAACGATTACATATTTTGATGTTAGGGAACAGCAACAAAAGGTTGCACATTTTCGTTTACGCGGTTCGCCTGACCGCCGCTGACCGTCATCATGGGCCTTCATGGTCATGATGTACAGTTCTTCTAGTACTAGGAAGTGAAACTATCCTCCAAAAAGTTTAGGCGAGTATGAACTATGAACGATGTTTCTTTAGTGGTGCGGTTATGGCTCTGATGATGAGTGGCGAGGACTCCTCGCAAGGGCTTACTTTACTGACCTTGCAAAGCTTTTGAGGAAAACAAAGTGAACTCTGGGGTCTGGGGATGCTGCGCACATCTGAGAGAACCAATTTTACTCTCACAAGTGTGTCCATTCCCGCTCCCAAAGTACAAAAACACTTCTTTCATTTGTCACTGCAAACCAACATCATAACACTTCTTTGCTCCAAATCGCAAGTGCACAAGAAATTTAACACTGGCGATCTGGCCACGACCCGATGCATGTGCTGTAAAGCAGGCAAAAGAGGTCGTTCTGCCAAGAGATCCCACTGAGTCTCGCACAGTCTTTCCATATTGCTTGGGTCGAACACTGTCATGGTCAAAGGCATGTAGGTATCAGCGAAATTACATGTCAAAAATAATTTGAGCGGGCCGAAGGTCATGTCCATCGCATGTCCGAAATGGCGTAGTTTCATTTTGTTCCCTTCTGTCAATGGGACTACAGCAGTGCTGGTCAGCAGATGCTTCAGCGCTTTCATGGCTGGTCCATCCCTGTTGCCAGCACTCGCATAAGCCTGACCCAGCGTGGAATATCGTTGCAGAGCCTGGAAATCCTCGGCCTTTGCCTTTGCGATTGCTTGCAGGTCTAACTGAAAAGACTTGTGACTGAGAAACGTCATTTTTGTAGCGAGAAGCAAGCTTTGACGTCGCACGGTATCCGCAAACATGGCTGTCACCTCCGCGTTGTCCCACCTGGACGTTGGCCGCGCCGCATATGGAACGGCGTCTGTTGCAAGGTGATATTCCAACTCTTCTCTTTTCAAAAGACATGCCATGAGCGCTCTTGGCGCAATCCGCACAGGTCTGCATTGATCAAAAGGTAAGCAATCTCCGAAGAAAAATTCCGTGAAAGCCAAACACCAAGACTCGGGAAGGAACATGGACAGGAGCTGTCCCGCTCGCACTTCCAACACATTGGCATCCGGCGTCCGCGGTCCTTCCAGAAGTTGCAGTTCCGCTTCAATGCTCTGTTCATGTCTGTCGGCCAATCTACGACACACTTCCCGCAGTTCTAAAGCGTGTCCTCGACAGGCTTCTCGAGCCGCAGTCAGTTCCATGCCAGCAACCACTTGAGCATCACCTTGTGCGGCCTCTGCCTTCTCTTCCTTCCTCTGAATGCGAGCTTGGTCCTCCTGTATACGTCGAATTTGCTCCTGTAGGACGACGTAATGCTGCAGAGGATCGTTGTCCGCGGCCTCATCAAGTCCAATGAGGTTCTCTGCTTCTTCCACCGGAGCTTTCCCCGCTTCTCCTTGCGCAGCCGCACAGGACTCTTCACCCTCTGCCTCTGCATCCAACTTTTCCGGCTCTTCATCCAACAAGTCAGCTTCTACAATTTCATCTTCCCGCGACCTCGCTGCCGTGTCCGCTGCTCGCGAGCTAGCCGGACCTGTCAAATTCGGTCGAAACATGTTGGCTTCCTCCATGCGCACAGCAGCAGATACAATTCCCGGGGGGCGCCTCATCCTCCTTCAGGTCAACCTGTGCTCGTGCTACATCGATTTCCACCTCATGAAACAACGGACAAAGCTGTTGTCGAAGACGAGCGCATTCGAGGTAAAGGGAACGTGGCACCAACAGTGGTTTCGCTCTGGCTACGTCGGTGCGGGATACAGAAAAAATAACCTGCAAGTGTTGACCCACGTCCTCCATGCAAGGCGGCAAGGACTTCCCCACGGCTGAAGTTCGCGGCTGCGCTATGAAAGTGGTATTGCCTTGCAAGCCATGTTGCAACTCACACGCATCTCTTCCATGCTTGTGGTTCAACACCACCTTCCTGTAAAGTACCCGAGCTTGTCCAAGAAGCATCCGTGCAGCCGGCAAGTCCCGAAGCTTCTGGTAAAGCGGATGCTCGCGGCCTCCCCACAGGTCATTGGCAAGCGCTCGCTTGGGAAGCGTGGGTTTCCGGTGACACAAGCTGTGACAACACCACCGACAAAGGAACACCGTGCCGTTACTGTCCCCGATGCCAGCGCAAGGCGGATGCCCTTCCACAGCTGTATCCCGGGAACCAGCCTCGCGCGCAACCGCAGCTTCACCTTCCGCGTGCGCATCCGCGACGCTAGCCTCTGCGCGCGCAACCGCAGACTCTGCCTTTTTCCGCAAAGGTACCCTGCGTGTGTGCAACAGCCACCGGTAGCCAGGGCGATCCGGATGTTGCACCGAACTTGCGTGTAGTTCGGCAACTGGAATCTTCGGCCACCGCTCTGCGTATTTGTCCACTCCCAAAAGCTGTTGAATTTCTTCGGCTGGTCCAAAATAATACAGACCGCGCTTATCTCGAAGCAAGTTGCTCCGCCGACGACCCGCCTGCTCATCTGCCGAACCAGCTTGAGCCTCAGCTGCTTCCTCCTCGTCCATCTCCTCCCGCACCTCTTTCCCCACAGGCAAAGTGCGAAACATGTCGCACCGGCGCATCCGCTCGGTCCATTCCTTCGTTGCGCACACAGCGCATCCCACCATGGCACGAGGTTCGCGCTCGGGGGCTCGAGGCTCTGCAGTTCTCACTGCTGCTGAAACAGACTCATCCCCTAACGGTTGGCTGGCTACGCTGACCAGTTGGGCGGTTGCGTTTCCAAGGATGCGTCTTTTGCGGGCCCAAGACATGGGCAAACCATGACAAGGAGCAGCTTCCTCATGCTGCGCATGCCAAAAGACGCGCTTACGGTACTCTGCCCAGTTCACATGCGCCTGGTCCACATGCGCAGACAGATCTGTCCAATTCACAAATCCATCTCCACACAGTTCACACACTCGAGGAGCTGTCAAAATAGGCAACAACCCTTTTGGCAACTCTGCTCCACCTGCCACACCATACATGGACTCTGCATCGGTTTTGAAAAACGGTGGGAAAGCATAGGTATCCATTCGAGTTGACAATACATACTGGGCAGGCGGACTTTTGAACAGACCACGGCTTTCCGAGACCCATTCCTCTACCTTTGCCTTTCTTTGATCCCGATGCTGCAATATGCCAAACCAGCCCACCCACACCATAGCAGTACCCAAAGATGCCTCCGTCCACAGATCCCGAAGGTCATGCTTCGTCAGAAATGTATCAAAGTCTTGCGCAAGGGCATGTAGTTGCTCCGGCTCTTTCACACCCCAGGCACTCTGAAACCAGGCCGGTTGGTCAGGCATGCTGCATTGCGCATCTTTCAAAGCTGCGACCAACAAATCAAAACTCTCCACTGGTTTGCGGCCATCTACGTCACCTCGCAGCGCCATGATCTCCGCCACCAAAGGTCCATCCAAAAGTGGCAATGCCTCTCGCCGCGCAACCGCAGATGCATTCTGCAACTCCATGGCTGCCATGCGTCGAAGCACGTGCTGTCCATCCCAGTTGGACGGGATGTGCACATCGCGAAAGTCTTTCGCAAAGGGCGTGGCTGTTCTGTGTAAGGGATCCTTCAAAGTGCACACAAAGGCATCCAGACTCTGGGGAGTCCGCATGTTCACCACTGCACAGGCACTCCAACATTGCGGATCAAGCTGCAAATGGCTTCGGAAACGCTCCACAGCTCCTCGGTGTGCCTCTCGCGTGGCAAACTCCGGCTCCGGGCGGACAACCCGACCAGCATGCTTCCTGTGTGCCTTGCAACCGGCCACTAACATAGAAGGAACCTGCTCTTTCTTCGTCACTGTCCCACTGTGCAACCCTTCCAACAATTGGCTGAGCTCGACAGGCGCCACAGACAAAGCCTGTCTCTTGCCCACTGCGCGCTTGAGAGGCACAGCACGATTGCACTGCAGCAACGCCACGGCCTCCGCGAGACTGGTTGGCCCCCGGTCGGGTGGCCCAGACAAGGATGCAGCACGCCCATCGGGAGTGTGTTCGCATTCTTTCAAAAAACGTATACATACACCCATCAGTTCTGACTTTGCTGCATCGACCGAGCGCTCGGTACCTCTACCGGCAACGCGCCGCGCCACGCCCCAATCACGGAAAACAGCCCTGCATCTTGATTGGCTGGTCTCACCAGGCCCCAAAACAAGCAAGAGTTCTTTGATCCTTCCAGCTTCCTGCGCTGCCACAAAGACGTCACCAAAGGAACGAAGCTCAACGTGCGTCTCCAACGATGCATATTGGAGCAACGCTTGAAACTTCACGGGTGGCAACAAATTCAAAAGCTTTGTCTTGACGAGTTCCCGGAGTTCCTCCTGGTTCAAACGCATTCCATTTCGTTTTCCACGGATATCTGCAGTCTGGCAGGCTTCACGAAGGCCCTTTGTGTTGGAATTGAGACCCTGCAACAAGGCCTTGCACTGTGCAACCACAAGCGCATCAGTGACAACGCACGACCCCAGATGCTCCAAGTCACTACGCACAGACGCGGATACAGCACCCAGTAAAACTGCGAAGGTGACGGCGGCCATGGCTGGCCAGGTGGTTTGTCCTAATATCTATAAAAGTGGTGGCGGTGGAGGTAGTGGTGCTGGTCATGGTACTGGTGGTGGTGAAGGTGGCGCTGACGGTGGTGGTCGAGCCAACAACTTCCAAAACGGCAAGTTCATTGAGATTCAAAACCCTTCAAGAACATCTGCACATCGAGATTCACGAGCACACATATGAGAGCATATGGGAGCACATATGAGAGCACATGAGAGCACACATCTGAGAGCACAAATGTGAGAGCACATACAAGCACCACTCTGAGAGCACACAGGCAAGTACATAGGAGCATTTCGAAGCTCACAATGTACCGCGCCTGCCACGAAATCTGCACATCGAGGTTCACAAAGTACTGCGCCTGCCACGAACTCTGCACATCGAGGTTCACAAAGTACTGCGCCTGCCACGCACTCTGCACATCCAGCTTCACAAAGTGCTGCGCCTGCCACGAGATCTGCACATCGAGATTCACAAAGTGCTGCGCCTGCCACGAAATCTGCACATCGAGATTCACAAAGTGCTGCGCCTGCCACGAAATCTGCACATCGAGATTCACAAAGTGCTGCGCCTGCCACGCACTCTGCACATCGAGATTCACAAAGTGCTGCGCCTGCCACGAATCTGCACATCGAGATTCACAAAGTGCTGCGCCTGCCACGAAATCTGCACATTGGAGATCCAAAATGAGCAAATTGCACGAGGCTTTCGCAAATTTTGACATGCGTTTCAGAAATGCTGTGCCTGCCACGAAATCATGCCTGCAGGTCATACGAAATGCTGCACTGGCCACGCAAAATCATCCTCAAGGTCCAAGTCCAAAAATGCAACCCCTCTCACGAATTCAGCCCTTTCACCTCAAAATATCGCATCCATGGTGCGGATTCCCTGCGCCTGCCACGTGAAACGCAGTCCTGCGAATGACACACGCCTGCCAACGTTTTTGCAACGTCCACAAAACACTGCGCCTGCCACGAAATTTGCAAAGTCTCCGATTCCTTGCACCTGCCACGTAAAATGACCTTTTCGAGGCTCCAATGTGTCGAATTCCTTGCGCCTGCCACGCGAAATTCACTTTAGCTCCGAAAACGAGCACGGCACCTGCACGAGAGCAACGCCCCGGAAGCACGAAGACCGCGGCCCCCAATTTATGCGAGCCTGCGCAGTCGAAATGGACATGAGGAATTCAAAAAGTAACTTTTGTGCGAGCCGGCCCACGCAAAATGCCGCAGCCACAAACGCGAACCCTCATCTAACCCTGCTTAACTCTCACCGTAAGAACCCCTTAGTGCGGAGCACTATTTGGGGAACTTGTGCCAAAAGGCTACCACAAAAAGGGAACGGTCTAACGCATACACGCCCACATGCGTCATCATGCGTCAGAATAGGGTCCCCCAAGCCTTATATGGGTATATAGAAATAGGTGCATAATTACTTCACTGATATATATACACCTTGTTCAGACTAGATGGCTATATCCGGAAACGAATCGATGGCACCAGAAAGTGCCAAAAGCGCACGCGGCAAACCGTGGAAAACAAGATATATACCTATGCATCCTCAAGCATAATAGATGGCATTCCACCCATTCACAGAGTAGACTTGCGCCATCTTCTGCAAAGAACACTGATATAAGTCGTTGATTTTTGTAGACAACCTCTCTGTTAAATTCCAACTGTTTTTCATGTTCTTCTCTTTGAACTGTCTTTCTCTCTCCTTCTTTCATATTCTATCTCTCTCTCTCTCTCTCCTTCTCTTCCTTTCTCCTTTGCTATCCATTCCTTAATGTCTCCTTTCCCTCTCCTTGGATGCCTTTCTCTTCTTTCCTTTCCTTCATTCACTTCGCCTTTCTCTATCCTTCCCTTGCCTTTCCCTTCACCTTTCCCTTTCCTTGCACTTGCACTTGAAACAGTAACAGAACGCTGCACGATAATAGCCCCGTAGATGGCACAACACTTGTGTGAAACATGATTAGGATAGTTGAGCCAATAGATACTGCCAAGTAGATGGCGCAGCTTGCTGCTTTCAGGGCCAAAAATTTTATGGCGTTCTTTCACGAAACGGATTGTAAAAGTAGATGGCGCCGAACCAATCCCCGAGTAGTACTTTCCCATTCCTTGTCACGATTTTTGCCTAGGATGGCTTGCGCCGTCTGCATCTGGGTTTTTTTGTTCCAGAGGCGTTTTCCCCTACACAATACATGCCTCATTACAAAAACCTGAGCCAAGTTTTCTGACTACAGAGTCTATATATAAGAACAATTGAATTGATCTATTGCGTTGCGCATAGGCGGAATTCTGTCCTGTTTTCCAGCTTCGCGGCTGAAACGTGGAATGCTCACTGCAACTGTCTGCACCTGCTACACTCCTCTTGAAAAGGGGTCGGCGGCACCCGGGCGAAGCCCTTACAATAACATCTGGTTAAAAGTTTAGGCCAGGCTCGTTAGGGCAAAACTGACTGGTGCGACTCATCCTTCCCGACGAATGGAGTCGCACCGAATTCGCGGACCCGAAAAGCGTTCAGCCGGGCATTCCCTTCGCCACAAAGCCACGCCCAGGTCCTTCCGCCGTGGCAGAAAGGCCTGGTGCCTGAGTCGAGCTGAGAGAGAAGGGGGGCCCTTGGGAAGAGAGCGGGGTCGAGGGCATTGCTTCAAACGATCAGTCGAGGACCGAATGAGTCTAGGGATGTAGAATGAGTGTTGATCCGTCCATTCCTTTGAATCTCCCAACTTTGCCAGCGGAAAAAAAAGAACACATGAGGACCTGCAAGTTGTTACATCTTGTTACCGTCTAGGTGGGCCAGTCAAGGTTGATGTACCATGGGCCTAGTGGATCAGCTATCTCAAACACAGCTCTGACAACTGCGGGACTCCTTCCTCTCGGAAGCACAATCCCAAAGGCTCGACACAGCGCAACACAAAATCCTTGCTTCCATCGCGCATATCTGCTTAGTCTGGATCTCACTCTTAAGCATGGAGTTGCTTCAGAGCTATAAGCCCAAAAGCATTCCCTCATCCCCTAGGTTCCTCGGTTTCCGGCAGCTCCTCTCGCGTGAGGACGCCCTTGGAGGTGGCTGAGGTGGCCGCCGCAGAAAAAAACACGCCGGTGCTTCTGCCCTTGATAAGTGGAGCGCCAGTCTGTTTGTCTTGGACATCTCAGATCGAGAGTTGTTCTGGAAAACGGGTCGCTACAGTACGATAGATGTCGCCACAGTACGATGAGACTAATAAAAACACGTCATGCATGTACCCCGCTCAACTCTTGCACTCAACAAACTTATGATCTCAGCAGTAACCATGAACCATGCCCTCTTAGTAAATCTTAGTAACAGCTAGCAGCTTGGCCTCCAACCTACTAGCTTGGCCGAGTTGTGTGCCCTGAGACTCTGACATCCTTATTGCCATCGGCCATCTTCATCACTTCTCTCGCCTCACCAAGGCCGTGCGAAGCTCCGAGCTCCGGCCTACCGCCTACGGCATCTGAGAAAACGGCGGCGGTCCGCGTGGCTGTCCGCGGTGTGGACACGGTTGCAAGGCAGCTGTGCTGAATTCCCAGGGGGGGCTTTTTTGGGGGGTGCATATACAAGACTGTCAAACATGAATCTCTCATAATCCATCTGCCGGGGTAGGACTGGATCACCATGTGAAACATCCTTGCAAAGCTGGAATTTCATGGTGTTGCGAAAGAACTGGGCATTCTTGCCAAGCCATGAGCAACTCTCGCCTTCCAAGTTTCTCCTTTGCAGAACACCGTGAAGCATCATAGCTTGGTCACATGTGGTCACCTATCCCTTGATTCCCTTGCAAGGTTCTTCGACACAGACACACACACACACACCACCTGAGCGGTCATCTGCTCCTGGTCGGGAGCCGCCAGAAACCTGCCGGGACGGCAACGGACGGGGGAGGAGATGTCACCACCGTCGTCCCATCCCCAAGCCTTGAGAAGAGGACGTGTCACCAAAACACCGGCTGAAAAGGAAGGCGCCATGTGCGTTTGTTCATCTGTCGATGCGACTGGTTGAGTGAAGCAAACCACTGGGCAAAGACTGGGCAGAGACTTGGGCCAAAGGAAGGTAGAGGAAGCGAAGCGACTAGCGTCACAGGACTCAAGAAGTGGAGACAAACAGTTGACTTGCTGCGTTGAACTCGCTACATCCACCAATTATGGGACTCTCTCCCTCCCCTCTCTCTCTCTCTCTTTATCGATATCAATGCGGGAAACACCATAGTATACCAAGAGTCGAAGATTGCACGAAGGTGCTGTGCCCAAGAGTCGAAGGCAGCAACTCCGTCGAAGAGTCGACGAGCCAGTCCCCACCGCCGAGAGGCCCGCTTCGCCGCCGCTCGGCCTCTTGGGCTCTTGTAGCAAGGTGGCATAGGACTCGATCTTTTCGAGGCATGGCTCCCCTGGAGGCAGAAAAAAACAGGCGGTGGCGTTGTAGCACGGTTCTACTCACTCACCAAAGCTGGTATCACTCGGTCACTGGGCATTACTCCATAATAAAACATATCTGGGCAAGGACACAATTGAAAGGTTTCAAGGGGTTCCGAACTTGGTTGTACCGACATTATATTATATATATATTATATAAATAAGTAGTTTATACCATAAACTTGCTTCTTTCCCCGCCAAAAAGTGCCATTGAACCTCATTGATAAATCATGTCTTGTGACTTGTGAGCGTGTAAGCCCCTGCCCCGCTCAGCAACACACACGCTCACACTTATACCTGCAGCATCCTACAGCCATCAGCAGCTCTCCCTCTCCCAAACCCTATTACCTCCCCTACCCCCCCCCCCCCCCCCCACCGACCCACACGCGCCTAAGCCATAGTGTGCCATGGAGAAGCGACCTTGCGCCCGACCGATCCACGACCGCAGGGGGAACTTCCGCCTCCTCAATGAATCAAGCAATCAAGGCATAGCAAGGCACGTTTTTTTGAGGCCATAGATGTTTCTGTACTGCCAAGGCTTGGATGTGCTTGGTGTGTGTGTGACCTGGAAACTGGCTGGATGCCAATGGCTCACAGTGACTCGGGTGAATACGTCTTTATCTTGGTGCGACGAAGGAAAACGATAAGAATGACCAATGTGTTCCGAACAACTGATCCACATATATGCTCTTTCCGCGTCCATCCTAACTTCATGGCGCATCATATAGAAGTCTACAAAAGATTGTTGATAAAAACATGAGTGTGCAATCAATTTTCTTGGACATGTTCGCTTGCTTGTCCGCTCAAGAAGCAAGAAAGCCGCCTCTCCCCCGTAAGCCGCTATCGCTGTGCGTTTGTTGAGTACATGGCACTGGCACCCCATGAGGTCCTTGTCCGATGGGGTTCCAAATAGCGCATCTTGGGGTCTGTGCCATCGAACCTCTCAATAAACATCAACCCCGCTGCCAAGATGCTCATGAAGGCTCGGTACAGGTTCACTTGTCTGGGATGGTTGAACCTCAGGTGCTGCTCGCGAAGCCGTGCGCATGGGGTTGGGACGGACTTGGGGGCTCCGCAGGGCCCCACGCATGGGGCCAGGTGTGCGTGGCTCCGGGCCGGAGCCACCGTGGCTGCTCCGATCGGATGAGGGCCAAGTCGGACCAGTGCAGGTCGGGATCTGCGAAATCTGAACGAGGCAGGATCCACTAAAGGGTGTTCTTAAAGACCTGTTCATGGACAGTCCCATAGTTTGAGGTTATCATAATCTCTTCCGATTGAAATGGACCGAGTCTGGTCAACTGCTCCTCTGCCGCATCAAACTAACATCAAAATAACGAAAGCGCCCGTCTCACCTAAGTGCCTCTGCTGGTAGGTGGAGGCCGTGTAGCACTTCTGGTCGTTCCCATCGGGATCCACAAAGGTCTCCTAGGAGCAAGATTGTAAAACATAGATTTAAAACACCCTGTACTATCATATTATATCGATCCAATAGTTTATAGTATATATATATAGAATACAACATATTGAATAACATATCATTTTAAACCTTATATAACTATATAATACTATGTGTATATATATATATATATATATGAATGGGAGTCTATGCTCTCGTGGCTCCTTGCCATAATCTAGTCATCTTCTCAAACGACTGGGCTCCCGGCATGGAGATAACCCGTTGGAAACACAAAGCACCTGAGCAGCTTCATCTCACCCCAAATGGATCTAATCTTCGCGAATTCTCTGTGCCAAATGGAAACCTGGGCTAATTCAAAGGTCCCTTTGTGTTGCTCTCCCCGTGTCTTTTAACCAACTCCAGTTCGGTCCGACCAGTTCGGCTCTCGGCCGAGGTCGAAGGCCGCTGCTACCCACGGCCCAAGGACCCGCCAACCGTCCGCAGCTTCCGATCGGAATGACACACCGCACACGGACGTCCGACACACGGACCGGACGGGGGGGGAATTTTTTAGTTGTACACGGCAAAAACTCTCCTTTGAGGCTCGTTGAGTTAAGACTTTGCGATGGCCTGCTTTGTGTTGGTCTTGCAGGGGCAGGTATTTCATGGTATTTCGCACCTCCCCACTTGTTCCACAGCTCCATACATCTTTCACTCACATGCGGGCTCTTCACCAATACTAACATGTGCGCCAGCCTGTGCACACCTGTCATGATACCGAAATGGAACACATAACACATTCCCGAGGGCTCCAAGTACCTTCTCAGAAGGCTTTTGGACCCTCCAAACCCACTCCAGTTCCACCTTCTCAGAAGGTACTTGGAGCCCTAGGGATTGGAACATGCAAACCATGCCCCATTCGCCCCGAACCTCCTCCACCCTGCCATGTCTGAGCGCTAAGTGACTGCCCCGGGCCGACGGTGAACTCCGTCTCCTGGCTCAGCCGAAGGCATCGGTGGTGACCCCCCCCAAAAAACGATATATATATATATAACACAAAAAACTACAAAGTAACTATCTGTTCATATATTAGTATTCAATACTATATCTATTCATATCTATTCATTATCTAATACAGCCTAGTCGAACGTCACGCGTTCGCCGCCGAACGTCGGCTCCGTTCCGGGTCGCCCGGGCCGGCGTCCACGGCACATGCTGCCGATGTCCGTAGATCTGTTCATCTCCAAAGGCCGTGGCCTGGAGTCCATGTCCGCAGTGTTTTGGCTTCCAAGAGACGTGACTCTGAAAGAGAACCAGGAGGGGGACCCTACTGGAATATTGAACTGGGATTTTTTGAACTAGGGTCCTTCAACCTCTGTCGCTTTGTTTCTGTTTTAATGGATTGTTTGGATAACAAATAAACATCCGCTAGTTTTGGAGCCAGGCTGATGGTACTTTCGCCGTGCTCAAAATGGATTGAACTTAAACCAACAAAATGGGTTTCAAACCGGTTGATGTTGGGATTCTGGATTCGCAGCCAAACTCCAAAGATTTTGTGGTCCTGAACCTTGATTCATGATTAGGAAAGGTAAATCGGCCCCCGAATAGAACATACTCTCCATGGCACCCCATGTGGAAAATGAACAATCACCCGGGCAAAACCATTTTGGACATCCAGCAGACCTACAGGAAAAGCACTGGAGATCTGCTTGCCGGGCTGAATTGATGTCTGAAAGAAGAAAACCAAGTCCTTCCGATGGATCACTCACAGTGACTATAATATAAATAAATATATATTCATTGCTATTACTACTGTATTGTTATTATTGTCATTAGTTATCGTGATTCAAGGACCCCGTCCCAAACTCTGAAACCAGTGATCTTTCAATCTGTTTGCAGTTTTCCGGATCGAAACGTTTGGGTGACCGTGTTTCGGAACACCTCAGCAGCTCCGCAAGGAACCCACCTGTCAGTGACCTCTTCGCTCCCCAGGTCCGCGCGGCCAAGCTGCGTTGAAGTGATGTCGGATCTCCGGAAAGGCCTGGATCCGCCAGCGCCTGGATCCGTCCCGTCGTGTTCGACAGGGGTTTCAGAATGGTGCATCGCGTTCCAAAGAAATCCAATAGAATTGAAACAGATTCTCCATGTGGGAGCATGTGAGTACATGTTAACTCGTCTTTCTCTTGACCAAGTGGTAATGTCTTAGCATCACGAACGGCGCCAGGATCCAATTGCTCGAGTCTGCCTCCGAACGCCGTGGAAGACGAACTCGCCCTACTGAACTGGAGGAGTCGCGGTTCTGTCGGTCTATCATGAAGAGTCTTCCAATGAAATTCATGTTCAGAGTGGTTGCAATAAGCTTTGTTTTCACCATTTTCATGTACGCCTGGTGGTGAGTTTTTCCGAAGGCCTCTTGCTGGGTTTGTAGATTTGAAGAGCATCCGTAACCCAAAATGAAAAAGGCATCCGTAACAACGTCCGGTTCCTTCAGCACCCTGCGATCTGACTGCCAGTCAGAGCCAGTCAGAGCGGGTGCCGATCTCCACCGGGCGGCTTCTTCCCCTTGAACTGCATGGAGATGGTGGTCTCACAATAGGAGTCCGCCTCGGACACAACACAGTGCCAACGAAGAGCTGGTTGCCGATGAAGAGATTCATTTTACATCTTCTTAATAGTTGGACTTACTGTGGCCATGGGCGGGAGACATGTTACGCTGCTCTATTGCTTCTCTGATCATTGATGATGGCAATGATTTGCAATGGGAAAAGGAGGATAGGAACAGCTGGGCAAAGCTCAGCTTCAGATCCGAAAAAAGGGAATCCACGTGATGACCCTATCTGCTCAGCTGCTAACCCACCTTCCTTTCCAACGAGAAGTTGGAAGAACTCCAAAACATACGGTCAAATGGTGGTCTGGATTTGGGAACGTTTGTAAGGAGGTCTTGCAGTCCATCCTCCTCTCTCGGCACGCAGTTTTTCTCCTTCACGCACGGGTGGCGTGCAAAGATGTGCAAAGCGTTCACAAAATATACCAAAGGACGATTCGCATAACCTTTCTGCAAGGCACTTTCACATCAAATATGTGGTCTAGGCTATAGGACTTGCTCGGCACAGTTGAAGGGAGATTGAGGCATGTCAATTGAATATTTCATGGGATTGGTGCTTTTGCTCTCGGCTATATGCGCATGTGTGGGGCCCTCCAATTGCTGTGGGGGGGGGAACGATAACCTTCGAACATCTTGGATCGCCTAGGATCGAGGCTTGCCAACTGGTTGCCGTTTCCTGCGCCAGGCTCTAAAAGCAGGTAAAAACATGATGTTGGCATCGCATGCAAACCTATCCCACAAACACACATGTGAAGCGGCTACACCCAAGACAAAGGTCAGCTCATATAGAGCAAACACACATCAACTGTCATAAACTCATAAACAAATCTTTGCAGCTAAAACATGCTTAAACCATGCTCCCGAAAGCAACCGCAACTGCGTGAAAATCGTGATTTCTGCTGCGATACGTTGCGCAACGAAAACTTGAGTTTCCCTTACCTACCTACCTGCCTGCCTGCCTATACCTACCTACCATGGAATAGCAACTGTTGAAGTCATTGGAACATCTTGAAACTGAAGGTCCTTAAATCAATATCTACTCAGCTCGAACCCAACAACATCTTTGCCCTTGCTGAATTTTGCGACTCGCCCAGAGAAAACACGAGCCAAACCTTGGACCCGTCTGTTTTAGCGCAGCGTTCATTGGCGGTGGGCAGCGCGTCTGAAGTGACGGACGCAAGACCAGTGACGGGTCTTGATCTTGGTACGAAGAACCTCCGGCATGAAGAACCTCAACACACGGGGTTTTGAAATATGCTTCCTGTCTGCCACTCGGCTAGCTAGATTCAGGGCACAGTGCATCCAAGAATTAGATGTACATGATGTATCAACACCCACCGTTTAACATACATCCTGTGCACTTGGTCCAGCAAGGTCACTCCTGACATATGAACAATCTCAAACTTGAAGGCTGCATCCAAAACCATAAAACACACTGACTGTTACAAACAGGTCACTCTACGATTTAGCAGGATGCACAACTTATCGCAGGGAGCGGAACTGGGATGAACAGACTTGGTTCCAACTGTTGACTCCAGGATTGCAGGCATGACCGGCGGGGTCATCAGTCCGTGCTGCCCAGTCATTCATGACACTCCCCGGTGCCGTGGAACATCAGCAACAAGCAAACAAGGGTAGTAGCAGCTGCGCGATCAGCTGCGCGATCAGCACATTGTGATATCGGACGGAGTGTGTTGGATCAGGGTTCTTGAATCTGTTTGAACAACCATGCAACAGGAATAGCAACTTTGGGTGTGGTTGGACGAGAGGGTACAAACTTTCGGACAAGGTGTTCTGACAGCGCGGCAGGTCCCTTCGAAATGTACAATTTCTACTGGTATCATCTGGCAACTGAAATCCCCCTTGATGTGTCCCCTTGGGTCCACCCCAGACGATTGAGAAGTGTCGACGATCCAATGTATGTAAAGCGTTTGCTAAAGTTGAAATTTTGTTTGGCGGTTCTGATCATTTTGATGTAGCATCCGACAAAGTCCTGTCATGTTGGACGGTCGATGTGTTTCTCTTGAAAGTTGTTCAATTGCTAATAGAGTATCATATACTCCCAGGACCTTCCCAGTGACCTTTTTGGAGTCCCTAAGTTGCCTTTTACAAGCCTAAGTGACCTCAAACCAGGGGATCAAAAGGTCACTGGGAAGATCCAGGTCAAAATAATTCACTGGGTTTCTGCTGGTGTCGCAAGGGAACTGCAGATTTTGCGCACGCTTTGCAATGAAGGTTTGTGTGTCTGCAAAAGTCAATGAACTGCCATCAAACAAATTCAGAACGGGTGCCCCCTGGGAGATGTTTTTCGTATAAAAGTGTACAAAAACACTGTCATAAAGTGGTTCCACGCTGAAACAACACAAAAACCATCAAAAACCTAGGTGTTGAGCTATTGTTTGTGATTCAATTTGTTCAAATTAGGCCTACAAAGGTAAGGTTGTTTCGAGGGAATACCAAAACAAAACGATAATTACAAGAAAACAACACATAGGAGGGCACTGGCCAAGGGAGGCAACGGCTTTCACCCCTCCAACAAATCAGGAATTGGAAAGTCTTGGACTATTTAGCTGGCGCTCACTCTAACTACTATACTTGCAGGTCAACATCATCATACTATGTCTGTGACCATTCGCGCACAAACAAGAGAAAACTTGTCAACGAAAAAGCTGATAGCATTTGACACTTAACATGGTGTAACCTCTGGGTTTCTATCTTAAAGTGAATGCAGTGGTTGCAAAAAGAACTTTATCGATACTGGTCCATACTCGCTTCTCTAAGGCTTCTCATGGAACTTTCAGCACACACTCAAACACACATCAGTGTTCCACGAACCTTCAGAGAGGAATCAAGTCGTGTCCACCCAGTTTCATGTCAACTGGGCGGCACGTGACAACATTGCTCGAGCCAGCTCAGCCCGCGTGGGGTTTGTGCCTTGGGGACGAAGAAACCTCGACCCTGCCCGTTCATCACCCTACTCCAGTGCGTTCTTCATGGAAGCCATGTACGGCCTTCCCGCAACCCGCAACATGGCTTTATGCATGTCATGTTGTCGCGGTTGAGTTTTTCAATGTTAGGTCTTGTTCCAATGTGTTGTGCTCCAAGTCTCTCACTAGTGAGTGACTGTTCCAAGACTCTGCACCATGATGAACCTCATCCCTGGACCTACAAACAAAAGCCAACAAAAACACAATTATGTGTTTAAAACAAGTCATTCCTAGATTTATAGTCATTAAGTGTACACATGTATTTTACGGTATATGAACAATACATCAAAAAAGTCGTAGCTCTCAAGTCGATTCTAGCAAATAATCGACTAAGCTCTAGACCGCTAGACCTGGAACATGATCTTCCTTTCCCAGGTTGCATGTTGTCTTAGTTGGAAGGGTCCCGCGATGACGCGAGCTGGTCCGGTCCAGTTAGGTTCGACCGGTCCTACCGGTCCTACCGGTCTAGGTGTGCATGAAGTAGCAGGGATGACTTTACAAATTAGATTCCCACTAAGAATGTATGGACAACCGTGCCACTATCTAATTGGGGATCAAAGAAATTAAAGGAGGAACTTCAGAACTTCGACTTTTTTTGGACATCTACCTGTCCAAAACAGTGGTCAGTGGTAGCCTTGTGATTCCCAAAGGCTCTCGAGTGATGTCCCAATGATGCGGCGGAAAACAGAGACAGGTTGATTACGATGTGGTACCGTTTCATTACCTCTCTCTTCTTTGTTCACCTGGAGGTCTTCCCTCATTCAACTCATCCAAAGCCAATTGAGTCCGTCCACCCGAGTCGCGACCCAAAGCCACCGAGTGGCGTCCCAAGGGGTTCACCTGGTTCCGCACCAGGTCGGCGCCCCAGCTCTCACGTTCGCCCAGCCAGGCGCGGCCTAGCAACGGAGCATAGAGAATCAATGGGAGACTTCCACACCACCGGCACCGTAAATTCAACAAACATAAGCATAGAACACATTGAACATCGTTGTGAACACACCATTGAATGCCATTGAACACATCTCAGATGTCTGCATGACTGGTGTTTCTTGGAGAAATCTGCTCTTTGCGCGTGCACCTGTGTTGACAGGTCAAAGCGTTGAGGATACCCAAACACTCCATGTATGCCATATACTGTATATCCATATATGCCTACATTGGGGTCGGTAGTTTTGGGGGTCAATGTAGGCATATATGGCATACATGGAGTGTCTGGGATATGAAACCATAGAAGGACCCATAGGTTCATCTCATGAGTTTCTCTCGGTCAGCGCTCCCCAGAAAGACAAGGCTAGCTGATTTTGGTTTGATGCCTCTGAGTACTCAATTTGCACATAATTAGTTTCAGTTGATGTTAGTTGCAGAACCTATATAAACATCAATGTTTTTTTGGTACAAACCAAGGACCACAAAGGCCAAATCAACCAAACCAATTTTTGTTTATTTGTTTCTGTTTCCATCTGTTTCCCGTTTCATGTTGCATCACGTGAACTCACGCAAACTCCTCTGCATCGGTTTCTCAATTTTGTTCGGGTCGATTCTTCAGGAGCCGAGTCACAGGTTTCATCCTATTGAACCCTCACTCCATCGAAGAAAGTATCATTACCCCACTCAGAACTTGAACGGTACAAATCCGGAGGAGATGTTTTTGGGGCAACCTAAACCATCCAAAGCCACTGAGAAACACACCTAGACCTAGCCCAAATCGTCCTTTTCGGGGCTTGCGCAGCTGAAATCTGTGCCTCCTATACTCAACATAGACTCCCAGATCATAGATCCAGTCACTTTCACTTCCAGGGTCTGCCAACAGAGCGACCTCGGGTCACCCTGTGAAAGTGGTGTGAAGCCTTGACCGTGACCCGACAAAAATCCACCTTGCTTGTCCACGAGGAAGTCCACCCGCAGGTACTGTGGCACTTGCCCACCCGCATCCCGGGTGGCTTCTTGGACCACTTGTTCCACCTGCGAGGAGTATGGGGAGAAGTGGGGCGGAAGGACATCGAAAACCCATA